TCAAATACAATCTAGGATAGTGGTTACTGAGTTTCATATTAACCAGTTTTTAGCTAAAATCTTACCATACCCATTTAAACAGATAAATGTGACATCCCTAATTTAAACAAGAGGGCCATGATGGCCCTGAGGTCGCTCACCTGTATATACCCCCCCCCCCCCTTGGCAGGGCTACTTTTAACCCAAGGGCTTTTATTTGAACAAACTTGGTAGACACCCATTAGAAGATGTTTCATGCTAAACATCTAAGCTCTAGCTCATTGGGTTTTTTAAAAGAAGATTTTTTAAGGTTTTTACTATACACATATAGTTAAAAACAATGACACCCCTGGGGCAGGGCCAGCTTTGACCCCAGGGCTTTTATTTGAACAAACTTTGTAGACACTTACTAGAAGATGTTTCATGCTTAATATCTAAACTCTAGCTATTTGGGTTTTTTCAAAGAAGATTTTTAAGTTTTTGCTTTACACATATAAGGAAAATCAATGACCCCCGGGGCGGGGCCAATTTTGACCCCAGGGCTTTTATTGGAACAAACTTTGTAGACACTCACTAGAAGATGTTTCATGCTTAATATCTAAACTCTAGCTATTTGGATTTTTCAAAGAGAAGTTTTTTAAGTTTTTGCTATACACATAGTAGGAAAATCAATGACCCCCAGGGCAGGGCCAATTTTGACCCCAGGGCTTTTATTTGAACAAACTTGGTAGACACCCATTAGAACATGTTTCATGCTAAATATCTTAGCTCTAGCTCTTTGAGTTCTTTACAAGAAGATTTTTTAAGTTTTTACTATATGCATATAGGGAAAAGCAATGACCCCCTGGGGCGGAGCCAATTTTGACCCCGGGGCTTTTATTTGAACAAACTTGGTAGACACTAATTAGAAGATACTTCATGCTAAATATCTTAGCTCTAGCTCTTTGGGTTCATTAAAAGAAGATTTTTTAAGTTTTTACTATATGCATATAGGGAAAATCAATGACCCCCTGGGGCGGGGCCAATTTTGACCCCAGGGCTTTTATTTGAACAAACTTGGTAGACACTCACTAGAAGATGTTTCATGCCAAATATCTAAGCTCTAGCTCCAAGGGTTTTTTAAAAGAAGATATTTAAAGTTTTTTCTTTCGGTTGCCGTGGCAACCAGAGTTCTGCATGGAATTAAATTCTTTGAACAATTTTTAAAGGACATTTCTGTGAAGTTTGGATGATGTCATTTAAAGTAAAAGTTTACGGATGGACGGATGTCCAGACAGACGACGGACGAAAAGCGATCACAAAAGCTCACCCTGTCACTTTGTGACAGGTGAGCTAAAAAGCTCCATTTTTCTTTCTTTATAAATTCATTTTAAAAAAAAAACACCGTCAATTTCATATTGGCAATTTAATTAAATAGACAGTTATGTTTAGTGTAAGATCGGAATATATTTCATCAAATGAGCACCAAAAGGAAATACGAACTATTTGGTGTTCATGAGGTGAAACATATTTTCTTTTTACTACATGCAAAGAAACGTTTAAAAAGAAATTTTAACCTAATACTAAATGAAAAGCGTGCCAAATTAGTATGAAACAAGAGGGCCATGATGGCCCTGAAATCGCTCACCTGTATATAGGCCCCCGGGGCGGGGCTAATTTTAACCCAGGGGCTTTTATTTGAACAAACTTGGTAGATCCCCATTTGAAGATGTTTCATGATAAATATCTAAGCTCTAGCTCTAAGAAAATCTTTAAGTTTTTACTAAACACATATAGTGAAAAACAATGACCCACACCCTCTGTGCGGGCCAATTTTGTCCCAGGGCTTTTATTTGAACAAACTTGGTAAACACTCACTAGAAGATAATTCATGCTTAATATCTAAACTCTATCTCTTGGTCTTTTAACAGAACATTTTTTCAGTTTTTACTATATACATAAAAGGAAAATCAATGATCCGGGCCCGGGCCAATTTTTTAACCCCAGGGCCCTTAATTTAACAAAAAATGGTAGACACCCATTAGAAGATGTTTCATGCTAAATATCTTAGCTCTAGCTTTTAAGATTTTTTAAAAGAAGATTTTTTATGTTTTAACTATATACATAAAAGGAAAAACAATGACCCCCTGGGGCAGGGCCAATTTTGACCCAGGGCTTTTATTTGAACAAACTTGTTAGACACCCACTAGAAGAGGTTTCATGCTTAATAGCTAAGCTCTACCTCTTTGGGTTTTTTTAAAAGAAGATTTTTTTAAGTTTTTACTATATGCATATGGGGTAAATCAATGACCCCCTGGGGCGGGGCCAAATTTGACCCCAGGGCTTTTATTTGAACAAACTTGGTAGACACCCATTAGAAGATGTTTCATGCTAAATATCTTAGCTCTAGCTCTGTGGGTTCTTTAAAAGAAGATTTTTTAAGGTTTTACTATATGCATATAGGTAAAATCAATGACCCCCTGGGGCGGAGCCAATTTTGACCCCAGGGCTTTTATTTGAACAAACTTGGTAGACACCCATTAGAGGATGTTTCATGCTAAATATCTTAGCTCTAGCTCTTTGGGTTCTTTAAAAGAAGATTTTTTAAGGTTTTACTATATGCATATAGGGAAAATCAATGACCCCCTGGGGCGGAGCCAATTTTGACCCCAGGGCTTTTATTTGAACAAACTTGGTAGACACCATTAGAGGATGTTTCATGCTAAATATCTTAGCTCTAGCTCTGTGGGTTCTTTAAAAGAAGATTTTTTAAGGTTTTACTATATGCATATAGGGAAAATCAATGACCCCCTGGGGCGGGGCCAAATTTGACCCCAGGGCTTTTATTTGAACAAACTTGGTAGACACCCATTAGAGGATGTTTCATGCTAAATATCTTAGCTCTAGCTCTTTGGGTTCTTTAAAAGAAGATTTTTTAAGGTTTTACTATATGCATATAGGGAAAATCAATGACCCCCTGGGGGGGGCCAATTTGACCCAGGGCTTTTATTTGAACAAACTTGGTAGACACTGACTAGAAGATGTTTCATGCCAAATATTTAAGCTCTAGCTCTTTGGGTTTTTTAAAAGAAGATTTTTAAGGTTTTACTATATGCATATAGGGTAAATCAATGACCCCCTGGGGCGGGGCCAAATTTGACCCCAGGGCTTTTATTTGAACAAACTTGGTAGACACCCATTAGAGGATGTTTCATGCTAAATATCTTAGCTCTAGCTTTTTGGGTTTTTTAAAAGAAGATTTTTTAAGGTTTTACTATATGCATATTGGGAAAATCAATGACCCCCTGTGGCAGGGCCAATTTTGACCCCAAGGCTTTTATTTGAACAAACTTGGTAGACACTGACTAGAAGATGTTTCATGCCAAATATCTAAGCTCTACCTCTTTGGGTTTTTTAAAAGAAGATTTTGTAAGGTTTTACTATATGCCTATAGGGTAAATCAATGACCCCCTGGGGCGGGGCCAATTTTGACCCCAGGGCTTTTATTTGAACAAACTTGGTAGACACCCATTAGAGGATGTTTCATGCTAAATATCTTAGCTCTAGCTCTTTGGGTTCTTTAAAAGAAGATTTTTTAAGGTTTTACTATATGCATATAGGGAAAATCAATGACCCCCTGGGCGGGGGCCAATTTTGACCCCAGGGCTTTTATTTGAACAAACTTGGTAGACACCCATTAGAAGATGATTCATGATAAATATCTAAGCTTTAACTCTTAGGGTTTTTTAAAAGAAGATTTTTTTAAGTGTTCACTATATACATCAAAGGAAAAACAATGACCCCTTGGGTGAGGCCAATTCTGACCCCAGGGCTTAAATTTGAACAAACTTAGTAAACACTGACTAGATGATGTTTCATGCCAAATATAAGCATTAGCTCTTTCAGTATTTTAAAAGAAGATTTTTTAATTTTTTTCTTTCAGTTGCCATGGTGACGGAATTTCTGCATGGAATTAAATTCTTTGAACAGTTTTTAAAGGTGACCACCAAAGGAACATTCCTGTGAAGTTTGGATGAAATTGGCCTAGTGGTTTATGAGGAGATGTCATTTAAAGTAAAAGTTTACGGACGCCGGCCGGACGGACGCCGGACGAAAAGCGATCACAAAAGCTCACCCTGTCACTTTGTGACAGGTGAGCTAAAAAATAATACAACGTGACGTCATTTACGACCTCACGTCATTAAGTTGGTTTCTAGTATTGTGCTAGCTAATAAGTAGTTCACTGAAGCAAAGTTATGGGATTAAATTCACAACAGTGAAAATATCAAATTGATATTTTCACTGTTTCAAACAGTGAAATATCAGTTTTATATTTCACTGATTATTATTATTTCCATAAACACTTAATGTCAAAAAAAAAATTACATATTTGTATTTGATTGTTTATATATAGAAATTATTTTCGAGAAAAAAGTACACGCCGAAACAGTCTTGCATTGATATTTTACTAAAAGATTAACTGATAACGTTATCAACTGCCTTATGCTGACAGTTGATTAATTGTCGATATTTTAATTCATATGGGAAGCATGCGTGCCTAAAGATAATAAACACAATATGATATTAACTGTTTTACACCGTAATAGTGGACTTGTCCACTGCTTCACTAAATAATTATCCGAAACGGACAGTACAATCATGTAATTCACAAATAATTGAGCCCGCAAAAGTTACATCAATTTAAGTAAAGTCTTTGGTGGCGATTTTTATCATTGCTATATAAAAATGTCCTGTTTAAAATAACATTTTGATAAACAAACAGATAATATGATTTAATGTTCATTTCATATTTCACACTATGATTCATACTAAAGAAAAGGGTTCATAATAAATTGTCGAACTGAACATTTACTAATATTACGAGAGTTTCTGAAATCGTACTTTCGCAAATATTTCCCCAACGCAAAAAGTTTGTTTTTGGACATTCGCAAACTTTTTGTGACGTAAACATATTCATTTATACAGTATATACCCATGGATGGGCAAAATGTCCCTTTATGACAATACAACAATTTTCTTACCTTTCTTGGTAAGTTTTCCAGTTTTGTTGAAAGAATCTCCATGCCAATATTTGACCAGTGTATGACCCTGATACAGAGGTTAACACTCGAAATGCATCCTGAGATCTCACCAATGTATCATTCAAACTATACTTCATCAATCTGAAACACACGGAAAGGATATATATATAAAAAAATCAAAAATCAAATCAGGTTCAATATCTAGAGCTGTCCATTAGGCAGCACACTTGGCTATTCTGAGAGCTTGACAGTAAGAGAAAGGGAAAATTACTCTGTAATAAAGTTACTCAGAGTAATGGAACCTGTGCCTATCATGCTTGATAATAACAGAGAACAAGTGTGTAAAATTTCATCTTATTCCTTTCAGTTGTTTTGGAGATACCAACTTGCATACAAAAATATAACCAATGTGATTGTGTGACAGTGCTGCCGATGCCATGGTGACAGCAATAGCTCTCCCTTTTACAGAATTGTCAGGCTTAATATTAAATTTAAGTACTGCTATTAAATGCATTCACTGTTTAAAGACCTGAAATATTAATACAGAAAATATCTGCATTGTTCATAAAAAACATTTCTATATTTGAAATGTGTAAAAATTTTCTTTTATTCCACTTTTGCAGTAATATGTTGCTGATCATTATTTTACAAGAAAAGAAGGAAAATCTATTTCTAACCTTGGAGACCAAGTCATAACTGATCTATATAACAAGAGCTGTCGGTAGGACAGCAACGCTCGACTATTCTTAGTGCTTGATAGTAAAAAAAATGCTTGATAGAGTTACCTATTTCTGTTTACAGGTTGGGGTCATGATGGTGAACAAGTGTGCAAAGTTTCAAAGCCATATGTCAATGGACTTTGAAAATATTTGAACTATTACAAAAACTTTAACGTAAATTCTAAGTCGAAAAAGGGGCATAATTCTGTCAAAATGCTTGATAGAGTTACCTCCTCCTGTTTACAGGTTGGGGTTATGATGGTGAACAAGTGTGCAAAGTTTCAAAGCCATATGTCAATGGACTTTGAAAATATTTGAACTATTACAAAAACTTTAACGTAAATTCTAAGTCGAAAAAGGGGCATAATTCTGTCAAAATGCTTGATAGAGTTACCTCCTCCTGTTTCCAGGTTGGGGTCATGATGGTGAACAAGTGTGCAAAGTTTCAAAGCCATATGTCAATGGACTTTGAAAATATTTTGAACTATTACAAAAACTTTAATGTAAATTCTAAGTCGAAAAAGGGGCATAATTCTGTCAAAATGCTTGATAGAGTTACCTCCTCCTGTTTACAGGTTGGGGTCATGATGGTGAACAAGTGTGCAAAGTTTCAAAGCGATATGTCAATGGACTTTGAAAATATTTGAACTATTACAAAAACTTTAATGTAAATTCTAAGTCGAAAAAGGGGCATAATTCTGTCAAAATGCTTGATAGAGTTACCTCCTCCTGTTTACAGGTTGGGGTCATGATGGTGAACAAGTGTGTAAAGTTTCAAAGCCATATGTCAATGGACTTTGAAAATATTTGAACTATTACAAAAACTTTAATGTAAATTCTAAGTCGAAAAAGGGGCATAATTCTGTCAAAATGCTTGATAGAGTTACCTCCTCCTGTTTACAGGTTGGGGTCATGATGGTGAACAAGTGTGCAAAGTTTCAAAGCCATATGTCAATGGACTTTGAAAATATTTGAACTATTACAAAAACTTTAACGTAAATTCTAAGTCGAAAAAGGGGCATAATTCTGTCAAAATGCTTGATAGAGTTACCTCCTCCTGTTTACAGGTTGGGGTCATGATGGTGAACAAGTGTGTAAAGTTTCAAAGCCATATGTCAATGGACTTTGAAAATATTTGAACTATTACAAAAACTTTAACGTAAATTCTAAGTCGAAAAAGGGGCATAATTCTGTCAAAATGCTTGATAGAGTTACCTCCTCCTGTCTACAGGTTGGGGTCATGATGGTGAACAAGTGTGCAAAGTTTCAAAGCCATATGTCTATGGACTTTGAAAATATTTGAACTATTACAAAAACTTTAACATAAGTGGTTACGCCGACGCCGACGCTCGGGTGACTGCAATAGCTCTACTTATTCTTATCGAATAGTCGAGCTAAAAAGGAAACCCAATGCTAGGAGAAAACAATGTATTTGTTTATAGGACAAACTGGAAACCACTGCAAACAATTCATTTGATTTCAGAAATAATATATCCCAAACTGTGATTTTATTGCTCAACAAAATCACTGTTTGGAGTTGGGATGCAAAGAATTATATCACAAGGGCGTAACAAGAGTCTAAGAAGACATCAACAGATAAACAAGAGGGCCATGATGGCCCTGAGTCGCTCACCAGAAACAACTGCTTTTCAGTGTTGGAATGTCAATATTTTCTAATATTAAATTTGAGCATAGAATATGTTTAAACAATAATGTGAAGAAATGCCATAACCCGGGGCATTTAAGCTTTAGCTTAAACAGGACTAATCAAATTAATAATGAGCAAACTTGATAAAAGACTACCTAAGAATGCTACAAAGTTTGGTGACCATCTATCAATTATTTCAGTAGGAAATGATGTTCGAGAGTTTTTTTCTATTTTTAGCTTGAGTGGCCCCTAAAAGGGGCTAATCAAATTAATATAAGCAAACTTGCTAAAAGAGAACCCAAGAATGCTACAGACAAAGTTTGGTGATCATCCATCAATTGGTTCTGAAGTATAAGATGTTTAAACGTTTTTCTATTTTTAGCTTAAGCGGCCCCTAAAAAAGGCTTATGAATTTAATATGAGCAAACTTGATAAAAGACTACCCAATAATGCTACAGACAAAGTTTGGTGATCATCCATCAATTGGTTCTGAAGTAGAAGATGTTTAAACGTTTTTCTATTTTTAGCTTAAGCTGCCCCTAAAAGGGGCTAATCAAATTAATATGAGCAAACTTGATAAAAGACTACCCAATAATGCTACAGACAAAGTTTGGTGATCATCCATCAATTAGTTCTGTAGCAATAGACGTTTAAACATATTTCTATTTTTAATTTTAGCGGCCCCTAAAAGGGGCCAATCAAAATAATATGAGCAAACTTGATAAAAGACTACCCAACAATGCTACAGACAAAGCTTGGTGATCATCCATCCATTAGTTCTGTAGAAATAGACATTTAAAGGTATTTCTATTTTTAGCTTAAGCGGCCCCTAAAAGGGGCCAATTAAATTCATATGAGCAAACTTGATAAAAGACAAGCCAAGAATGCTCATACAAAGTTTGGTGATCATCCATCAGTTAGTTCTGTAGAAGAGGATATCTAAAGGTTTTTCTATTTTTTGCTAAAGAAACCCCTAAAAGGGGCCAATCAAATTAATATGAGCAAATTTGATAAAAGACTACCCAAGAATGCTACAAACAAAGTTTGGTGATCATCCATCAATTAGTTCTGTAGAAATAGACATTTAAAGGTATTTCTATTTTTAGCTTTTGCGGTCCCTTAAAGGGGCCAATCAAAATAATATTAGCAAACTTGATAAAAGACTACCCAAGAATGCTACAGACAAAGTTTGGTGATCATCTATCAATTAGTTCTCTAGAAATAGACCTTAAACGGTATTTCTATTTCTAGCTTTAGTGGCCCCTAAAAAGGGCCAATCAAATTAATATAAACAAACTTGATAAAACACTACCCAAGAATGCTACAGACAAAGTTTGGTGATCATCCATCCATTAGTTCTGTAGGAGAAGATGTTTAAAGGTTTTTCTATTTTTAGCCCTAGAGACCCCTAAAAGGGGCCAATCAAAATAATATGAGCAAACTTGATAAAAGACTACCTAAGAATGCTACAGACAAAGTTTGGTGATCATCCATCAATTAGTTCTGTAGAAATAGACGTTTAAAGGTTTTTCTATTTTTAGCTTTTGCGGCCCCTATAAGGGACCAATCAAATTCATATGAGCAAACTTGATAAAACACTACCCATGAATGCTACAGACAAAGTTTGGTGATCATCCATCCATTAGTTCTGTAGAAGAAGATGTTTAAAGGTTTTTCTATTTTTAGCCCTAAAGACTCTAAAAGGGGCCAATCAAATTAATATGAGTAAACCTGATAAAAGACTACCAAAGAATGCTACAGAGAAAGTTTGGTGATCATCCATCAATTAGTTCTGTAGAAGAAGGTGTTTAAAGGTTTTTCTATTTTATGCTCTGCTGACACCTAAAAGGGGCCAATTGAAATGACGTGAGCAAATTCAAGTGTGTCTGTCACAAGGATGCTACAGACCAAATTTGAAGTAAATCTGTCCAGCGGTTTCAGAGAAGAAGATGATTGTTGACGCATGACGACGGACGTCGGAGTATCCCCCTTTGATACTAATAGCTCACCCTGAGCCTTCGGCTCTGGTGAGCTAAAAAAAAAATTATAACACTCTCAAACTGCTGGTTGGAATGTATCTCTCTCTGCTTGAGACTACAAAATTACTACAACATACCTTAACATAAGACGTGATTCTTTTGTATGTCCTAATGCCATCAGAAGCTTCATTTTCTCCGAAGCGTCCGCCTCCTTCAGGAAAGAGTTCCAAACATTGTCCCAGTCTTCATCTGTACCATACATTATACCCGTCTTATATATAACAGTCTTAAGGTTTACGTTGATGCTAGAAATAAAGGAACAAGTCTTATATATAACAGTCTTAAGGTTAACGTTGATGCTAGAAATAAAGGAACAAGTCTTATATATAACAGTCTTAAGGTTTACGTTGATGCTAGAAATAAATGAACAAGTCTGATCTTTAACAGTCTTTAGGTTTACATTGATGCTAGAAATAAATGAACAAGTCTGATCTTTAACAGTCTTTAGGTTTACATTGATGCTAGAAATAAATGAACAAGTCTGATCTTTAACAGTCTTTAGGTTTACATTGATGCTAGAAATAAAGGAACAAGTCTTATATATAACAGTCTTAAGGTTAACGTTGATGCTAGAAATAAAGGAACCAGTCTTATATATAACAGTCTTTAGGTTTACGTTGATGCTAGAAATAAAGGAACCAGTCTTATATATAACAGTCTTTAGGTTAACATTGATGCTATAAATAAAGTAACCTGTCTTATATATAACAGTCTTTAAGTTTACGTTGATTTTAAAAAAAAAGTAACCAGTCTTATATAACAGTCTTTAAGTTTACGTTGATGCTAAACATAAAGGAAACAGTGTTATATATAACAGTCTTTAAGTTTACGTTGATGCTAAAAAATAAGTAACCAGTCTTATATATAACAGTCTTAAGGTTTACGTTGATGCTAGAAATAAAGTAACATGTCTTATATATAACAGTCTTTAGGTTAACGTTGATGCTAAAAATAAATGAACAAGTCTTATATATAACAGTCTTAAGGTTTAAGTTGATGCTAGAAATAAAGGAACCAGTCTTATATAAAACAGTCTTTAGGTTTACGTTGATGCTAAAAATAAAGTAACCTGTCTTATTTACATTACAACAGTCTTTAAGTTTACGTTGATGCTAAATATAAAGTAACCTGTCTTTTTTATATTACAACAGTCTTTAAGTTTACGTTGATGCTAAACATAAAGTAACCTGTCTTTTTTATATTACAACAGTCTTTAAGTTTACGTTGATGCTAAACATAAAGTAACCTGTCTTTTTTATATTACAACAGTCTTTAAGTTTACGTTGATGCTAAATATAAAGTAACCTGTCTTTTTTATATTACAACAGTCTTTAAGTTTACGTTGATGCTAAATATAAAGTAACCTGTCTTTTTTATATTACAACAGTCTTTAAGTTTACGTTGATGCTAAACATAAAGTAACCTGTCTTTATTACATTACAACAGTCTTTAAGTTTACGTTGATGCTAAACATAAAGTAACCTGTCTTTATTACATTACAACAGTCTTTAAGTTTACGTTGATGCTAAACATAAAGTAACCTGTCTTTATTACATTACAACAGTCTTTAAGTTTACGTTGATGCTAAACATAAAGTAACCTGTCTTTATTACATTACAACAGTCTTTAAGTTTACGTTGATGCTAAACATAAAGTAACCTGTCTTTATTACATTACAACAGTCTTTAAGTTTACGTTGATGCTAAACATAAAGTAACCTGTCTTTATTACATTACAACAGTCTTTAAGTTTACGTTGATGCTAAAAATAAGGGGACTAGCCTTGAATGTAGCATTCTTTAAGTCTATGTTAAGCCTGGAACCATCCATATTACTTTTACACAGAATGCCACCTTTCCATGTAAATGTTGGTAAAATTTCACTATGACGTACCTAAGCATGATATGAGAACTATGTATACCTTGTTTAGTTCTGTAGAGTACCTGCTACAGTTTATTCACATGAAGTTTTGTCAATATCTAACAAAAACAGATAGTCAGACAGACAGATAGTACACTGCACATTAACGCTTGATGACAAATCACTTCAGTGAAGGTTTCATTTAAATGAAAATAGTGGATACTGTACAGATAAGCTTGTATGTAGAGACAGGCTAAGTAACAGTAAAATCATGATTTACCTCCCTTGATTGTAACCTACCTTGATTTACCTCCCTTGATTTGCCTGTCTTTATTTACCACCAAGATTCATTCCTCATGTATACTCATAAAATTTATCTCCCTTTATTAAACCACCCTTGGTCATTAAAGATTCATTCCTTATACTCATAAAAACAACACCAAAATTAAAATCACACAAGAGTTACTTCCCTTACCTGTTATGATCAGATTTCCACTGTTCAAACAATTCTCTCCCTTTCTTAATGGCAGCCTCGTCTTTCAGATTGATAGCAAGGTTCAGTATTGTAGACCTGAGATATTTATCTAACATCTTGCCCGTGTCATCCCACGTCATCTCTGCTAGCTGTTACAAGATAGAACATCTTATTTTATTACCCCTCACTATTTTTGTAATGTCAATTTCCCATCAGTCATTGGGAGTTATTCTTGCTGTTAATTGGTTTAAACATATTTATTTAAGCTCAATTGCGAAACAAGTTCTTGCAACTTATATTAATCACTTTCCAGTCCGCTTCCTGAAACCAACCAGTACTGGTGTCATATGAAGAAACATGGTTGTGAGACAATAAGGGCTGGAACCCATGATATCTGGGTTGAGAGGCAGACACCTTAACCATTTTTGTAATGTCAATACACCCATAAATAGTTTCAATATGAACTATGTAAATAACCGAGGTATAGCGAGTGAAAAAATGCGTGTTGTTTCCCTTATCTTCTAGTTTGACACAGTATAGGTCATTTGGTGGCGTTCCAACTTTACTGGTGGAGGAAGACCTCAGGTGCCCTTCCGTGCATTATTTCAGGCACAAACTGTCACCTGAGTAGAACCGAGGTTCAGTAAGCTATCTTGATATCTTCCTCACATGAAAGAATTCAAAGTCCCTGTCGGGATTCTAACCCACAGCGCTGAGAGGCAAGTGGTTTGAAGTTAACAATCTTAACCACTTAGCCACGGACGCCCCTTATCTTCTAGTAAAATCAATATCTCTTATGGTAAAACAAAACAAATTTTTGACGTTTTTAAACCGCTAGTTTGTTGTGATTTAATGTCCAATTTTAAAATTTGTTACACCAATGGAGAGCTTTGGATCTTAGCTTTGTCACAATATATACTTCAACACATCTTTTGGCACAAAAGTATTTAGATTAACTGTTAAACCTACCAGCTGTCAGACAATTTTACATACCATTTATACAGTGAGATACGCAACCGGTTATCTTTACTCGAAAAATTTTTCGATGTTTTAGTTTTAGTTTTACTCCCTTTCTCAATTTTCCAGTAAAATATTATATTTTGTTTCTAAACTCAGTACTTTTTGTTTTATTTCCATGATAAAGAATAAACATGATTTTTGGTTTTTCCTTCCTTTTATATTGAATATATTTATTTTACCTTAAGGGTGACCTTTACTTAGGAAAGGTATAGATTTCTTTTCATTTCAATCAAGCGTGCTTTGTACTTTTCAATGGATTTTACTCAAGAAATAGCATGCGTGATTACATGTATGTTGAAAACCAATTTTAAATGATAATAATTATTTTCCTCAAGCAAAACTATTAAAGAAAAGAAATTATGGAATAAAATGAATAATCGTTTAATCTTTGTGACAAGAACTCATGCTAAAAATATACTAAAATGAAATCTATTACGTACTGCCATACAAATTCATTTTCATAGCTGTAAATACACAACAAACGGTACATTCAGCCGAGTTTAAATCTGTGCCAATAAAAACAAAAGTTGAAAATGAGGTATCTATTTACGGATAGCTGATATTTTGGAGTTCCTTATAAAAGTGTTATTTTCTTTACTTTTTTAACTTAAGTGGGATTGAAAAATGAGTTCCTTAAAAGCGATAATTCCTTATAACCATGTCCGTTATAAGTAAACTCTAAAACATTTTTCCACATCAAAATACTTAAAGGAAAAAAAAATTACCTGTTTTTTTATAAGTTTCAACTGTACATTTCAGGCACAAACTGGCACCTGAGTAGAACCACCGATGTTCCGTAAGCTAGCTGGATAGCTTCCTCACATGAAAGAATCCAAAGTCCCTGTCGGGAATCGATCCCACAGCAGTGAGGGGCAAGTGGTTTCAAGTCAACGACCTTAACCACTCGGCCACGGACACCCCAAAGCAGAGTATGAAATTGATGTATATTAAGTTCAATCTCTGCAGAGCAACACTGTTTGATCTTTTTTTATTTGTTGCCGAGGGACATCACACAGAGCTGATATTTATTGTTAAAAAGTTTTACTTTTGGAGAAATTGAAACTAATGTTGTTCCGAGATACATTGTACTTGCTTTACAAAGGGTGGCTCTGTGAAGGTTGTGCTGTATTTCTGTACTTTAAAGTTGTAAATGAACGTAAGATTGTAGAGTACAACAAAGGCCCATTATGCCCCAAAAAACAAACAGGCAGACAACACCATTTCATTCTACAATAAACTCTTAGCATTTTTCCACATCAAAATCCTTAAAGGAAAAAAAAATTACCTGTTTTTTTATAAGTTTCAACTGTACATTTCTGAAATTTGTGTAAATTGGTAGGTTCTCAAGTCTGTGTTGAATATACTTCCAGTTATCAACGAGCGTCTGCCACGGTATGTAGTCTTCCTCATTAACCATGTACAGGGACAGATCTAACGCTATATCATAATTGAGAAGTCCTGCACGCGCCAACGCAAATACGTCATCAATCATACCAGCTCTTTCTGTTGGCAGAAAAACCTGGAAAATAAAAGACCGTAATCTATACAATGATTTATATAGACGATAATGAATGAATTTAGATTTTAAATACTAAAAATTATTTAATTTTAATGAGTTGGATAAAATAACTTTTTGCCAGCTTCTGAAAAATGACCTTTTTACTGTAAACTGTGCTTATTTTGATTATGTGGTAAATAGAATATTATATTAATGTTAATTAATTACTTCATTTATTGAACAAGTTGGATAAAATCATGTTTTGCAAGCCTCTGAAAAAATGTCTTTTTAACTGTAAACGGCTCTTTTTTTGGATATGTGGTATATAAATTCAATATAACATTTATTAAACAAGTTGGAAACAATCATATCATGCAAGCCTCTGGTAACGATTTATTCAACAAGTTCAAATTCATTTAAGAGGTGTACTTTAACTTCTTGTTGTTTGGTCTAGCTAACTTTTCATGTACAGTCACCATTATAACTTAATATTGTTTGGTCTAGCTCATTCTACAGTCACAAGTTACAACGACGGTAATTCACTGTACAGTCACAATTTACAACATATTATTAATTTGCTCTAGCTTACTGTACAGTCACCAGTTATAACATAATGTTCTGTGTAGAACACTGTAATGTCACCAGTTTTAACATACTGTTTTGTCTAGATCACTGTACAGTCACCAGTTTCAACCTACTGTGTTGCCTAGATCAATGAACAGTCAGCAATTCTAACATAATGTCCAGTGTAGAACACTGTAAAGTCACCAGTTTTAACATACTGTGTTTTCTAGATCACTGTACAGTCACCAGTTTCCAACTTACTGTTTTGTCTAGATCACTGTACAGTCACCAGTTTTAAACTTACTGTGTTGTCTAGATCACTGTACAGTCACCAGTAATAACTATTTGGTCTAGATCACTGTACAGTCACCAGTTTCAACTTACTGTGTTGTCTAGATCACTGTACAGTCACCAGTTTTAACTTACTGTGTTGTCTAGATCACTGTACAGTCACCAGTAATAACTGTTTTGTCTAGATCACTGTACAGTCACCTGTTTTAACTTACTGTGTTGTCAGTATTAAGCTGCCGTATCAAAGCTTGCCAGTTATCTGTGTCATAGTTCATCCGGTAGTAGCCAGTCATCTTATAGTTCCCTTTAATCCAGTTTATATCAGCAGCAACTTCAAATGAACCTGGAAAACATGACAGGGAAATTAACCCTTTACTTAATAATGGAATTGACTAATGGATTTACCTCCATTTGAATATAACAGTCTGTTCAAGATTAAAGGAATTTCTATGACAAACCAAAATTTGAGTAACAAACAATATTGGGGCCTAGTCAGACTGCATTGATGCTCTTGCTGGCTGGGCTCTATAATGGTGCAAAAACTTTACTAAAGTGTGATGAACTTTTTTGAGATACCAACTTGCATGCAAAAACTTTACCAAAGTGTGATGTACATTTTGAGAGACCAACTTGCATGCAAAAACTTGTGATGGGGACACCAATGCTGACACCTGGATAAGTACAACAGCTGTCCCTATTTCGATTCGACAAGCTAACAAGAGCTGTCGGTAGGACAGCACGCTCGACTATTCTAAGTGCTTGATAGTAAAAGAGCCTTTATAATGTTAAATTTTTTAAGTTCACAAAAGGGCTAATTTTTTTTTATAAATTCATGTTATAGGCCTTAGAGAGAGTCTAATTATACAGTATTGGCTTGACTATTCGGAAGGTAATGTCACAAGGGTGTTTTATTGAGTATAATAATACTAATTACCTATGAATACATACATTTGACAGAAAAGGTACAAAGGCTTGTTATTAAGATGTTCTATCAAGTAAATCACTGCTTTATTATTATGAATGCATAAAATTGTCCCAAAAAAGGCACAAACCCTTCAGTAGTTATTGAGATAACAGCTTACAAGGAAAACTTTACCATAATTTCTAAGTTGAAAAAAGGGAGAAAAATCAGCCTAAATGCAAGATCGAATTATGGATCTTTGTCAGTGACCTACAATTATGACCCTTAATGCATATGTGAAGTTTTAAATAAATATCTTTAATAGTTATTGAGATATGTAAAACTACCATGTAAACATTAACCAAGAGACTAAGTAGAAAAGGGGATATGAATCAGACTTAATGCAAGATAGAGTTATGGAACTTGGTCAGTGACATACAATTATGACCCTCCAATTATGACCCTTAGTGCATGTGTAAAGTTTCAAGTAAATATCTTTGAAAACCTTTAACCAAAATGTCTAAGTTTCAAAGGGGCAATTAATTCTGCAAATATTGCAGGCAGAGTTATGCAATTTTGCAAACTGATGTACATTGTTACTATAAATAAGTATTGTAAGTTTCAATTGAATATCTCAAGCAATAATTGAGATATTTGACTTTACAAAAAACTTTAACCAAAATTTCTAAGTTAAAAAGGGGCATAATTCTGTCAATATTGTAGGCAGAGTTATCCAACTTGTCAATCTGATGTACCTTGTTACTATAAAAAAGTATTGTAAGTTTCAATTGAATATCTCAAGCAATAATTGAGATATTTGACTTTACAAAAAACTTTAACCAACGCAGACGCCGACGCAGACGCTGATGCCGACGCCGGGGCGACTACAATAGCTCTCATATTCTTCGAATAGTCGAGCTTAAAATCAGAAGTGACTATACTGTTATGAGCATTACCTGAAGCATCTTTCAGCAAGTACTTCTCAACCTTGTTAGGATCTGAGGCAGTTGAATATGTAAATGGAACTTCCCATCTGTAGCTGTTATTACATATTGAAATAAAAGTAAAACAACAAATCAAACTAAAGGGACTCCACTGATTTTTTTTTGACATGACTGGACTTAAAATAAATTTCTGAGATTAATGTTCCATTTGATGTAGGAAAATTTCAGATCATTCACTCACTCAGTTTATAAGAATTCTGATTGTATAAAAATACCCAAAATTAAAAAGCGTTGTAATGCTTTTTGTCCAGGTTGGGCTAAAAATAGTATGAAAGTACAATTTGCAATTTATTTCTCAAGTAGGTTTAATTATTCTGTGTACAAGCAAACAAACAAAATATTTTTCACCGTCATTGGTCTTATATCATATAAAGATGTCATAAAAACTTTATGTTTGTGTCATTAATAAAACATAATTTTAGAGTACTACTATTAATTAATAAAATATTCCTGATTTACATACCCAAATGGTGAACTAAATTGTGATGATATATTCAACTGTTTGTACAGGAGAAATCTTTCCTGCTGTACATGAACTTTTGGTCTCCCTTTCTGTCTTGTAACCATGACAACTGGATAGCCCATTTGTTCTGTCCAGGTCCTCATTAAACTTTTCACATCAGTTTTGATATCAGAATTACTCTCCTTGACAGCCTAGTTTATATATACAACACCATCTATTATCAGTATTTCTTTCATAAAATCTTTTATGAAACTTTAAGCAGCATGCTACAAAATTCCTGCTAATTTCTTATGAAAATTTTGAAAAAGTATTTAAAAGTAAAACACTCATTGCTTAGTACTTGTTAGTTTAAGTGTTTCTATTAGCTTATAGCTTCCAACACAATCAAACTAAAATAAATTTGTATAAACTAAATCCAGAGAGGATAAAAGCAATTTATTCCAAATCAGCACCCAATACTAGAACTGTGTCCAAAGGACACGGATGCTCCCACTGACAACATATATATTATGGTATATAGTGAAAAAATCAACAAAGGGCCATAATTCTCTTAAATTTGGTTGCAGCAAAAAATTCCTCCCTTTACTACCATCTACACATTAAGGTTGTTCATCCCTGGAAGTTTAAGCAAAATCTGCCATCCGGTTTAAGAGGAGTTGCGTTCACAAAATTTCTATATGGTATATAGTGAAAAAGTCAACAAAGGGCCACAATTCTGTTAAATTTGGTCACAGCAAAAATTCCTCCCTTTACTACCATCTACACATAAAGGTTGTTCATCCCTGGAAGTTTAAGCAAAATCTGCCATCCGGTTTAAGAGGAGTTGCGTTCACAAAATTTCTATATGGTATATAGTGAAAAAGTCAACAAAGGGCCACAATTCTGTTAAATTTGGTCACAGCAAAAATTCCTTCCTTTACTACCATCTACACATTAGGGTTGTTCATCCCTGAAAGTTTAAGCAAAATCTGCCATCCTGGTTTAAGAGGAGTTGCGTTCACAAAAGTCAACAAAGGGCCATAATTCTGTTAAATTTGGTCGCCGCGAAAATTCCTTCCTTAACTACCATCTACACATTAAGGTTGTTCATCCCTAGAAGTTTAAGCAAAATCTGCCATCCCGTTTCAGAGGAGTTGCGTTAACAAGATTTCGGGACGGACGGACGGATGTTCTAACAGGAGAGTAATAATGTGGCTACTCTATTGTTCTTTTTAGCCACACAAAAGAAAATAGCCACATAAAAGCATTACGGAATGAATGACATCAAAGAGAAAGAACAGTTACGTATTGTCCCTCTAGCCACATAATTACTGTCCGGTGAGTGCGGACGGACGGACGGACAAGTGCAACGCTATATGCTCCCACTCTGTGGGGGCATAAAAACACTCTACCATATAGACACCTTCAAAATATGAACTGGTTAATAATAAATCAAGGTAATTGCAAAATAAAGCAAGAAATGATATTCATCTTCGATATGCCATTGGCATAATACACATAAGTTATGATAACATATTTATGCAGTGTTGCCGCTTAAACGAAACAAAGGGGTTGTTGACTTTGCTGTGAGTTTTGGACCTGGGGTAGAGGGGTTTGTAAAAAGACAAGTATGGGCTACTTAAAATTTTTTTTTTTTTTACAACAAAACCGTGGCCTGCGTCAACAATTTTTTAATTTAAGTGCAAAATATGAAAATTACAATAATTGATGAATGGCAAAATATATATGAATAATAATAGCATTATTTGCAAAAGTTTATTTACCTGTAAAAAGACAAGTATGCGCTACTTAAAATATTTATTTTATTTACGTTGGGGGCCAAATGTTACAGGGTGAGAAAAATGTACAGCCTGACCGGGACTTGAACCCGGGACCCTTGGAATACCGTTTTGCGGCTTTACCGACTGAGCTATTTGGTCGCTTACACATTTTTTTTTTTTAAATAGTGAACAGTTTTGAACCGTAACATACTTTTTTGCTATATTGAAATTTTTTTTTGAATTTTACAGAGTTACAGAGCAATGTAAATTAAACTTTGAGCATATTTAGTTACGGCCCCATGTTGGGCGCCAATTGTTGCAGCTTAAACGAAACAAAGGGGTTGTTGACTTTGCTGTGAGTTTTGGACCTGGTGTAGAGGGGTTTGTAAAAAGACAAGTATGCGCTACTTAAAATATTTATTTTTTTCTACAACAAAACCGTGGCCTGCGCCAACAATTTTTTAATTTAAGTGCAAAATATGAAAATTACAATAATTGATGAATGGCAAAATATATATGAATAATAATAGCATTATTTGCAAAAGTTTATTTACCTGTAAAAAGACAAGTATGCGCTACTTAAAATATTTATTTTTTTCTACAACAAAACCGTGGCCTGCGCCAACAATTTTTTAATTTAAGTGCGCATGCGTTGTGCAGATTAGCGGGCAAATTGAAATATTAGCGAGAAAAGTTAATTGAAGATATTGAAAAGGTTATAAAGTACTATTATATAGGTAACGGCTATTGGATATGAGATATGAACTATGAGTATATGAATTAAAGAAATAACTACAGAAAACAATAAGGGACATTAACATATGAATATACAGAGACAGGCATGGACACGAACAGATTAAAATATACAGCACTTGGCAATACGGACAATGTGACACAGTATAAAGTTTCACAAAGAATACAACAGCACAAGCATAACAGATGAAAGTATTAGACAGAGTGTTATTATCACATTACCTGAGACAAAGAGTCCCAAAGATCGTTGGTAGCTGCGTTACTAAAATTATACTTATTCAGGTATGATGTCAGTCCATCTTTGAACACGTCCTCTGATAGAAAATTGTTCAGCATTCTTATGATAGAGGCGCCCTGAAAAAATATAAACCTTTGTTCTTGAAGATAATCTATTTGTTGTCATGGAAATATGATAAAACTGTGTAATAAATTACATTGTCATAGGAATAATGGTAAAACTGTGTAATAAATTACATTGTAATAGGAATAATGGTAAAACTGTGTAATAAATTACATTATCATAGGAATAATGGTAAAACTGTGTAATAAATTACATTATCATAGGAATATGCTTAAACTGTGTAATAAATTACATTATCATAGGAATATGCTTAAACTGTGTAATAAATTACATTATCATTGGAATAATGATAAAACTTTGTAATAAATTACATTGTCATAGGAATTATGATAAAACTGTGTAATAAATGACATTGTCATAGAAATTATGATAAAACTGTGTAATAAATTACATCGTCATAGGAAATATATTAAAACTGTGTAATAAATTACATTGTCATAGGAATTATGATAAAATTGTGTAAAAAAATTACATTGTCATAGGAATTATGATAAAACTGTGTAATAAATTACATTGTCATAGGAATCATGATAAAACTGTGTAAAAAAATTACATTGTCATAGGAATTATGATAAAACTGTGTAATAAATTACATTGTCATAGGAATTATGATAAAACTGTAATAAATTACATTGTCATAGGAATTATGATAAAACTGTGTAATAAATTACATTGTCATAGGAATTATGATAAAAATGTGTAAAAAATTACATTGTCATAGGAATTATGATATAACTGTATAATAAATTAAATTGTCATAGGAATTAGATAAAACTTTGTAATAAATTACATTGTCATAGGAATATGATAAAACTGTGTAAAAAAAGTACATTGTCAAAAGAATTATGATAAAACTGTGTAATAAATTAAACTGCCATAGGAATATGATAAAACTGTGGAATAAATTAAATTGCCATAGAAATATGATAAATTTGTGTAAAAAAATTACATTGTCATAGGAATTAGATAAAACTGTGTAATAAATTACATAGTCATAGGAATAATGATAAAACTGAGTAATGAATTACATAGTCATAGGAATTATGATAAAACTAAAACTGTGTAAAAAAAAAATTATCATAGGAATAATGGTATCACTGTGTAATGAATTACATTATCATAGGAATTATGATTAAACTGTGTAATAAATTACATTTTCTTGGAATAATGATAAAACTTTGTAATAAATTACATTTTCATAGGAATTATGACAAAAACTTTGTAATAAATTACCTTGTCATATGTAATTGCATCAAAGAGTTCGTTGATCTGGTTTGGATTATCAACTTTAAGATTTATGGGATGTGAGTTCTCCAGGCTGTCCAGGTATAAGGCATTCAGCAAAGTCTCTGTCACAAACTGATCATCCTGAAAATACACCATTAATGTAATTAACTATTTTTTTTAAATTTTCAAAACAATCTGTGGTTTTCTGAAGGGGAAAATGTAGCACAATATATCAGAAAATTAAATTAAATATTTTATTCTGTCATATTCCCAAATGAATATAGTATAATATTATTTCCCAATCCACAGGAAAAAAATTCCCAATTGAATGATACAAAATAAAAATATTAAATAACAAAATTCTAAAATATTTGAAAATAAGAACATCTTCACTGTTATGGTGCTTAAATGTTTGAAGATGCCATCCTAGACAGAGATTCTTTGCAATTTATTTAATCACTGCAAAATTTAAATGATTCCTTTTTTTCTCGAATTTTAACAAAACATCGCTGAAATTCCCAATTTCATGGGTATGAGTTATGTTCCCAAAATCCTGGGGGGAAAAAAACCCCTGAAGATACACAGCACATCTCACCATTTTCCAGTCCTCGTGACCTATTCCACTACCTATGTATTCTACAAAGCTGGCAAAGCCTTCATTCAACCACAAGTCGTCCCACCATGCCATAGTTACCAAGTTACCAAACCACTGTAATAAGATAAATACGTCTATGAAATAATGGATACTTTAAAATGTAAGATACTTTAAAATGTAAGTCCACAAGAAAAATTTGTATGAAAAGAAAAAGGGGGATTAACAGTTATTTGCCCACTGGACAGTTGACACAGGACGACTGCCCCCTTTTTTTGCAGTGACGGTCATTTGCCCTCTCATATCTTTTGATGCCGCAGACATTTGTCCCCCCCCCCCCCCCCTGCCTCCCCAACAATTACATTTTTTTTATGGCAGACAGTTGCTCCCATAAAATTTTAAACATTTGACGATCCAACAGTATCAAGTTTTTAAGGGCAGACATTTGCCCCCCTATAAAATTTTCTTAGAGCAGACAGTTGGCCCCTGTTTTAAAAATATTTAATTCCACTGGCGTTGGTGGCATGGGGAGAAAAAATCTAATCGTAATTTTACCTGATGAGCTAGTTCATGTGCTACAACAACAGCAACACGCTCCTTATTTCTAGCAGACGACACTTTAGGGTCGTAGAGTACAGCGGTTTCTCTGTAAGTAATCAGACCCCAATTCTCCATAGCACCAGCAGCAAAGTCAGGTATGGCTATCAAATCTGAAACCAGACATAACAAATGTCTTACTTAATTATGATTTATAATTACCTTAATTATAACTTAAAATTGCCTTACTGAATAAAATTAATATTGCCTTACTTTATTATAACTTAAAATTGCATTACTTAATAATAAATGAAAGATAAGCATTGCAATTGGGCACTTGGGAACAACAGTTTTCATTTAAAAAGCAGGTGGGATAAATTTGTTTGCTATTTCAGTGGATTTTGACATTTCCCTTTAACAACTTCAGGGCATCTTATTATGACCAAGTGGTTAAAGTGAGTACTAACTTCAAACTAGACACTATGGGTTCGAATCCGACCAAGGACTTTGAATTCTTTCATCCAGCTAACTTCAGTGATTCAATTTCATTAAAATCAGATCATCATTTTCGCTCCATTACTCTTCAATAACTAGGAGGGTAGCGGAGCAATAATTAGAATGTGATTTCAATGAGTTTGACCAGCAGTTCTAATCAGGTGCCTGCAAGTGCTAAAAATGAAATACTGCACAGATGGGCAGGTCTTTCTCCATTAGTAAAGGTGGAAAAATGCCATATAACCATCACAGTGACAGACCTGGGGATGATTACATAAAATAATGCTCAGTAACTGATTTAAGTACAGTTATTTTCATATTTTATTGTAATTGATTATGATTGATTACTAAGACTTGCCTCTGTAATCAATTAAATTACTTTTAGACAATAATTGATTGATAATTGATTACATTCAATGTATAACTGTAAAGTTAAAATGCATCATTTAAAATAAAGGCATTCTTTGATTTTAAATAGTTTCCTGTTAAATCTGATAGTAATAAAATTAATGTCAATCAAATTGTAATCATAATTACTGACTGCATTTAAGCTGTAATTAATTAATTACAATTAATATTTGGCAAGGTAATCAATTAAAAGATGATTACAGCATTATCACACAATCAATTTAACAAGAGGGCCATGATGGCCCTGAGATCGCTCACCTGTATATAGGCCCCCACAACCCCCACACCCACCACAACGTTGCAGGGCCAATTTAACCAAAGGGCTTTTGTTTGCACAAACTTGGTAGACACCCATAAGAAGATGTTTCATGCTAAACATCTAAGCTCTAGCTCATTGGGCTATTTAAAAGAAGATTTTTTTAAAGTTTTTACTATAAACATATAGTTAAAAACAATGACACCCCTGGGGCCGGGCCAGTTATGACCCCAGGGTTTTTATTTGAACAAACTTTGTAGACACTTACTAGAATATGTTTCATGCTTAATATCTAAACTCTAGCTATTTGGGTTTTTTCAAAGAAGATTTTAAGTTTTTGCTATACACATGTAAGAAAAATCAATGACCCCCGGGGCAGGGCCAATTTTGACCCCAGGTCTTTTATTTGAACAAACTTTGTAGACACTCACTAGAAGATGTTTCATGCTTAATATCTTAACTCAAGCTATTTGGGTTTTTTCAAAAAAGATTTTTTAAGTTTTTGCTATACACATATAAGGAAAATCAATGACCCCCGGGGCGGGGCCAATTTTGACCCCAGGGCTTTTATTTAAACAAACATGGTAGACACCTATTAGAACATGTTTGATGCTAAATATCTTAACCATAGCTCTTTGAGTTCTTTAAAAGAAGATTTTTTAAGTTTTTACTATATGCATATATAGGGAAAATCAATGACCCCCGGGGTGGGGTCAATTTTGACCCCAGGGCTTTTATTTGAACAAACTTGGTAGACACTTTTTAGAACATGTTTCATGCTAAATATCTTAGCTCTAACTCTTTTGGTTCTTTAAAAGATGATTTTTTAAGTTTTTACTATATGCATATAGGGAAAATCAATGACCCCCTGGGGCGGGGCCAATTTTGACCCCAGGGCTTTTCTTTGAACAAACTTGGTAGACACCTATTAGAACATGTTTGATGCTAAATATCTTAGCCATAGCTCTTTGAGTTCTTTAAAAGAAGATTTTTTAAGTTTTTACTATATGCATATAGGGAAAATCAATGACCCCCCGGGGCGGGGCCAATTTTGACCCCAGGGCTTTTATTTGAACAAACTTGGTAGACACTTATTAGAACATGTTTCATGCTAAATATCTTAGCTCTAACTCTTTTGGTTCTTTAAAAGATGATTTTTTAAGTTTTTACTATATGCATATAGGGAAAATCAATGACCCCCTGGGGCGGGGCCAATTTTGACCCCAGGGCTTTTCTTTGAACAAACTTGGTAGACACCTATTAGAACATGTTTGATGCTCAATATCTTAGCCATAGCTCTTTGAGTTCTTTAAAAGAAGATTTTTTAAGTTTTTACTATATGCATATAGGGAAAATCAATGACCCCCCGGGGCGGGGCGAATTTTGACCCCAGGGCTTTTATTTGAACAAACTTGGTAGACACTCACTAGAAGATGTTTCAGGCCAAATATCTAAGCTCTAGCTCTTATGGTTTTTTAAAAGAAGATATTTAAAGTTTTTTCTTTCGGTTGCCATGGCAACCAGAGTTCTGCATGGAATTAAATTCTTTGAACAATTTTTAAAGGTGACCACCAAAGGAACATTCCTGTGAAGTTTGGATGAAATTGGCCTTGTGGTTTATGAGGAGATGTCATTTAAAGTAAAAGTTTACGGACGACGGACGCCGGACGAAAAGCGATCACAAAAGCTCACCCTGTCACTTTGTGACAGGTGAGCTAAAAATTGATAATTGTAATTAACAATTACCCCTGGTCAGTTTAATGATAGTGTAACTTAAAATCAAACAAAAATAAAAGAGTCGCACTATGACAAAACCTACATAATGCCTTTGCGACCAGCATGGATTCAGACCAGCCTACACATCTGCAAAGTCTGGTAAGGATCCACGATGTTCACTATCAGTTTCTCTACTTATAATAGGGTTTGTAAGTGAACTGCATGGATCCTGATCAGACTGGGTGGATGCGCAGGCTGGTCTGGATCCACGCATTATGCTGGTTTTGTCATGGCACGGCTCAAATCATGTTTTACATTGGGTGTGTATAGAACAGGTTTGACAGTAATTAGTACAATAATTGAGAAAGCAGCTGTTATATCTATTGTTAAACCTTTTGAAACAAGATAACATAGATGCACACCTGTTACATTTATTTATATCAACAGATATTTCATCACAAATGTATATATATCTAAGGTTTTGTATTTTACACAGTAAAGCGTATCATATTTACATATAGTAAAGCATATCATATTATAAATGTAGAAACTTGGATTTAATATACAAACTTTTTGTCTTATTCAGACCAAACCTCTATCACTATATAATAATTATGTGACTGCTGTATCATATATAAGTAGAGGATATTCAAGTTTTATCTATAAATACAGGATTTATTTTCATCGAGTGGTATGAAAATAAATATTTCATGAGTGGCAATAGCCACAAGTGAAATATGATCATTTCCATTCCACAAGATGGAAATAAATCCTGTATTTATAGAAAGAGCTCAATTTTTTGTTTATTGTATGCAATTTTCTCTTTTTTTACATTACAATTTGAAAGACTTTCCTTTAAAATGTTGTGTGCTTGCAGAATTAAGAACAAGAGCACCGCTAGGCGGAGCATTATATGCCCGAAAGGTTTTTTTTTTCTAGTAAGGATGAAGCATTTGTAAGACATTACATAAATTAAATAAAGTATTACCTCATTCAAATAGCAATCCTCCTATAAAATTTGAATATTGTGGGCCAAATGGAACTTAAGTTATGCTCTGGAAACTGTTTTCAGTTTTGAGGTAATAGCGACCTTGAACTTTGACCTTGTGACCCCAAAATCAATAGGGGTGTTCTACCCAATATGGACAATCATCCTATGAAGTTTCAACACTATGGTCCAAATAGAAATTAAGTTATGTTCTGGAAACTGTTTTCAGTTTTTAAATAATAGTGACCTTGACCTTGTGACCCCAAAATCAATAGGGGTATTCTACCCAATATGGACAATCATCCTATGAAGTTGGAACACTGTGGGCCAATTGGAACTTAAGTTATGATCCGGAAACTGTTTTCAGTTTTAAGGTGATAGTGACCTTGACCTTTGACCTTGTGACCCCAAAATCAATAGGGGTCTTCAACCCAGTATGGACACTCATCCTATGAAGTCTGAATATTGTGGGTCAAATGGAACTTAAGTTATGCTCCGGAAACCAAATTGCTAACGGACGGACAGACATTCCTACAAATGGTCATTTTATATTGGGTACTTCTTTTTGTTGTGCCCAACAAGAGAACATAAGTACCCAACAATACTGAAGGTATGAATACCCAAAAAGTGTCCTCTCATGTGTTGGAGGTACCCAACAAGTATCCTCTGGTTTGCCCGGACAGACAGACGGACGGACGCCAGGGGGTATAACATAATATGCCCGAAATTCTTTCAGGCATATAAAAAAATGTAGTGTGTCAAGACACCAGTGAAAACATTTCCCGTATTTAGTTTTCAAGCAGTGAAAAATAAATTTTTACAGTGAAAATATGGAAAATGAAAAAACACATTTTATTTCATCAATATTTCTCAATATTTCATTTATAAGTATATTATAATAAGGTGGTTTATTACACATATACTGCATGTTTGTAACGTCAAGTTTCATTGGACAAACATGTTGTCTATATTCCCTATATATACATGAATAAGGTGCTTGTGACTACCAATTTATGATTTTATTTCAATTAATCAACCTAAATATACAGTAATGTCACCTTACTGCAGTAAATGATCAACTTTTTACAAAGCCTTAGATGTATATACATTTGTGATGATCTGTTAAATTGTTAATATAATTAAGTGAAGCTAATGCAAATTTCATAAAAAATATAACATTGTTTAGGTAATAACGCCATATTGTATATGTTAAATCTTTGCTTTATATATAGCTTTGGTTACAATAAAGAAAGAAGAAAATTCTCAGATAAATTACATACATTTTAGAAGAATAATTTTAATTTAATAAACATGTCTATTTAAGGGCCCATAAAGCCTCAGAAATGCAATCATTGTTATTTTTCAAAAGTTTTTTATTTTTGTTGTCCTTAATATATTTAAGGTTCTAAAAATAATACTCACTGACCATAAAACTGAACCATATTTTGCTTCTTTTGCATTTTTGCAAAGTTATAGTGATTAAATGTTTTGTATGGAAAAGCAAACCTTTACATTTTGCTATCTTTATCACAAATTATTTCACATTCAACACTAATTTCTTCAGGTAATAAGTTACATAATAAAAATCATTGCGAAAAATGTATTGAACTGGTTAAAATCAATGCAATGATCTATGATTGTTCTTTAGATATTATGAAGATGTATAATGAGCACCTCACACTTGTTCTAAATCTCTTATTAAAACATTATAAGTAGGAGCATCTGTGGCTGCGTGGTTAAGGTCGTTGACTTCAAACCACTTGAACCTTACAGATGTGGGTTCGAATCCCTACAGGGACTTTGGATTCTTTCATGTGAGGAAGCTATCCAGCTAGCTTATGGAACGTCAGTGGTCCTACTTAGGTGCCTGTCCGTGCCTGAAATAATGCATGGAAGGGCACCTGAGGTCTTCCTCCACCAGTAAATCTGGAACATCACCATATGACCTATACTGTGTCGGTGTGACATAAAACCCAATCAAACAAACAACGTCATTATAAAACACATACTTGCTCTTTAAACAGAAGGCTTTAAGCTTGGTTGTGAAAAAATCTCCTAGCAACTTTAAAGTTTCTTCCTGAATCTAAACAGTATTGGTGTCCTTAAAGCAAAAACCATTGAGGTAACCCAAATTGCATCCACACCCACAACCCCTAGATTGAGAAGTAGGCACCTTGACCACTAGAACACTTTAAGAGTCAAGTGCACATAATGTTACTTGTTCAGGTAGGGGATATTCATGGACGAAATTTCACCTTCCCTGAGTATTGAACCAGTGGCCCCTTGATTACAATGTGATAAGAGACAAGTAAACATAAACATTTACCTTGTTTAGGTAGGGGATATAACACTTTGAAATATTTTTCATAATAATCTATGATATCAACAGCTGTATTGAGAGCAAATGTTGCTGCATGTATGGAATCTTCCGGTGCAAAAACTCGCACCTAAAATATAGAAAAAAATAGCATACATGTACATGTATGTTAAAACTAGAAATATTAATTTGGAACCATTTTTATGTAAAAATTACCAATATTATAAATTTGGAACTATTTTTTATGTAGAAACTAGCAGTATTATTAAATTGGAACTATTTTTTGACAAAGTAGGAATATCTAGCATTTATGTGAACAGGCATCCTTAATCAACCTTCTAAATAACAGTTAAAAACTCAGTCAAGATGTTACATATTTTTATAGGTACAATGTAATAAGTTCTGCCATAAAATAAGTATATAAAGTTCATACAAATTTTATTTAAGTCTGACTGAAACCCGTGAACCAGTACAAAGCAACAAGTGTAAAGTTCCTTGCTCTTAAAGGACAATAGCTTGCCCCAGATGGTGATCTGAACCAAGAAGGGCCAGCAATTCTTAGATTATAATAGTCTGATGTGCAAACCACACTGTCACCCTATCACAAAAAGTAAACTAAATTTTAGCCGTATCATGACCAAACCAACATAATGGGTTTGCAACCAGCATGGATCCAGACCAGCCTGCGCATCCGCGAAGTCTGATCAGGATCCATGCTGTTCACTATCACTTTCTCTACATGTCATAGGGTTGGTAAGCAAACAGCATGGATCCTGATCAGACTGCGCAAACCCATTATGTTGGTTTTGTCATGACACGGCTAAATTTTCATTAATGACTCTGGGCATTTATTAGTGGCAATATGGTAAACATTGTCATATACTTACCATCACATCTCTTTTTGAGTATTTTGTGATATTTTTGTAATCACAAACCACGAACGCCACCAGATATGTACTCATTTTAACTGTTTCATCAAAGTTATCTACTTTTAGACCATTCTCATAATCGTCAGTCTTCAACAATGGCATGTTAAACAAGGCGATGTGATCTGATTCTCGAATCATTGACAGTTTAAATGTCGCTTTAAGATGAGGCTCGTCAAAACACGGGAATGCTGCACGTGCATCGGTTGGCTCAAAGTGAGTTGTAGCAATATATCTGAAATTATGAAATAACCCTGATGACAATAATTCATTTTAATTGGTATGGACCATATACATTAAAAGCATTAAAAATTAATATTACTTTAGAAAATAACAAAACCTTGTTTATAAATAGCAGAAGTAAAATAGTAGAAGTAAAAATGATTTGTGTCAGAGCAAAACTGGTGGTAATACATTTCAAATCTTCAATATCTAAGACTGAGAAATTATAGTTTCTGAGAAGAAGATTTGTAAAGATTTCATTTTTAAAGTCTATTTTAAGCTCCTGTGACCTACTTTTGCATTAGACTGAAACTGTTTATATTCTCAGAGGGTCACCTAATAAACCACACAGCACACAGAAATTTCTATAAATGTCCTTTAGAATGCATCGGTGACTGTTGATAAAAAGAGTGGAGCAGTTTTTATTTTTTGTTTTTTTTTTACCCTGAATATTTCTAATTACCAATTATTGGTCAATCGCTATTGAAATAGTCAATCTTTTGAAATATACACATTTTGTATCTTAATTAAACACAACTTGACACTGAAAAAATGAGCATTATAAACATCACTTTAAAGAAGAAAATGGGGATAACAATAAGTTATGGCCATCATGCTATAACTAAAGCTAATGTCTAAGCATATTGTGCTCAACTCTACTCAAGATGAGCTAAAAACAACAAACACATATCAAACTTTGAACAATAACTTTTTGTAATACCTTTCTTCACCACTTTTTGTCTTGTACATGCTTTTGTAAAATCCTGCCAACTTCTTCACAAGGTCTCCTTGATACTCCACATCCAGTATGACCTTTGACCCTGCTTCAAGTCTCGTGTCAAGTTTCACATAGATCTGTTCATTAGTTACATATTCCAGCCAATGTGAAACTGGAACCTTCCGCGATGATTTAACATCACTCACCTCCAACTTTGTAATCGTTAAATTCTTCACATGGAACACAATAAAGTTTGTGGGCTTTTTAATATCACAACTTATTTTCACATTGCCTTTGAAAATTGACAAAGATATATTTGGATGGAGTTTCAACTGATAAGACATTGGAATGACTGAATCCGGTAATCGAATCTCTTTATATGGAAATGGTTTACCACTGGTAGATATATAGTCTGGTTTTTTAGGTTCTGGTTGTTGTTGTTGTTGTTTAGTATCTAGTGTTGTCCCGTTACACGAATTACCGGACGATAATGCAGCAATTAGGGCAACAACGAGTAAAAATAAACACGCTATCGTTGCTATGACAGCCGCTCTACCTTTATTGCAGGCCACATTTCGTAGTTTCTGTATAATATTTGGTTCGTACAAAGCTCGTCTGTGAAGATTTTCACCTGATATAAAATAAAGAAAAAAAGAGCTGTTAGTAACTAAAATGTTCGACTTTTTTCAACATGTTTATTAATTAGTTGATCTAGATTTCACTCCATCAGTTTTGGTTTGAAAAATTTAGAATGTTTTTTTTTTAAGTTTGACTATTATGACATATCAACCAAATATCTATCATTCAATCAGATTTGCCCCACATGTCCAGTGATTTTTTCTGTACGAAATCTGCTGTGGTCATAGTATTATTTTTACAATAGGTTTATCTCTAAGATTTGGTTTGCTAAATTGCTAATCATGGTCATGCAACTACATAGTTAGGTGAAGAAGCAGGCTCTTGTTTTGATTGAGTCTATTATGTTTTGTTTAAGGGGTTTAGTTGTCATACACAAATTTACAATTTATATGCATTTATTTTATTCCAATGATTGTTATTATCTTAAATGCTTCTGGGATTGTTGTTTTATCAATTTTATCAATTCATTTTTAAATGAGTTTGTTATATGTCTATTAACAGAATAATTTTAATGAACACGAAATTAGTTCACACCTACATGTGTATTGGTAACGTGATGGTTTAAGCCAATGAAAACACGTCAATATTATTATACTCAGGCAGAGAAAAAGTGTGCAAAGAGTAAATCGATAATCTTTATGTAGCCAGCAAACTTTGAATTGCAAGTATTTTTTCATATCTTTTCGACAGAATAAACTTTTCGAGGATTCGTATCGTAAAATGGCTGCCATTTACAGTATCAAGTGATTATCCCAAGCACCACCGCGACTTAGCGCGGGAATTTTAATTATAGCTAACCCCGGCGCGAATACCTTTTTCATATTTTATTGTAATAAATATTTACAAACTGTGTCTTTCGGGGTTATTATTTTTCTTGTTTATTTCAATTTTCAAAACAACCTGTGACTTTCTCAATTGGAAAATATAGCAGATAAATCACAAAAGGGGAAAAACCTGAAATGAAATTCCAACAACTGAGAATGAAATTTTGTAGTTGATACATTTTATAAAATTTTCAATTTTAAACTTCATTATCTTCTCACCTACATTTTTAGATCTTAACCGTGACATACTCCCCCAATATATTGGTCATAGAATTTCTCAGGATAACAGAGTAAATTAAACCCTGAGCTATATGCAGTATATTATGGCCCAACATTCCACTTCCATTCCATTCCAATGTCACCGGGTGAGAAAAGTGCAACCTGACCTGGACTTGATCTCTGGACACTTGGAATATCGTTCTCCAGCTCTACTTACCAAGAAATCCGTCTGCTCACACTTTTCCCATCAAAGTTCAGAACTGTGTAAATGTTGTAGTCCTTCATTGAAAGATATCGCATTTTCTTATTTTTACAATTTAAAGTTTATAGAAAATGTTGAAGCGTATTTGACCAATAAAAAAATAGCTTTACTTCTGAATATTAAATATTTGGACTATAAATGTTGCTACTGTAGGAGGACCTCTGCACTGATGGAATTGTGTTTGCAACTGCGTATTCCACAAAAAATCAATATTTTACTCCCATTGATTCTAAAGAAACATAGCCTCAATAACTTTTATTAGCATGCCATTAATGAAAACAAATAGATCTAATGCACTTTATCTTTTAGCTATAAATTTCTCTTGTTTAAGACTTTGTTTTCCAATTCAAAACCTTACCAGGCAGAAAGGACACGTCTTCTATCTCGTTGTCTGACATGTTTACTACGTGTTTACGTTTACGAATCAGCTTGACAGTCTATGTGAATGCAAAAACAAAAGAAAATTACTGCATCAAATTTTCATAAAATATGTTGGAGTTGTTGTTGTCGCTTAGTTGTCAAAATTGGTGAGAGTTATTTCCCCTGTGTACTCTTCGCAAATTAAGGCGACATGCGGAAGTAAATAATTTGTATCCTTAAGAAGTGATTTTGTTAATTAACACTGCTTATCGTTTGACAGTTATATATGTGTTAAATCTAGAAAACATTCAGGTAAATATTATATTTTGTCGAAACAGCAATGATTGTTTGGTATCACGTAGATTATTAAAAATGTAATTGAAAAAATACGATTTTTAGTGTATGTTTCGTCCCAAAACCAACTCGACCCATAATAATCTGGCCATAAAATGCATTTTTGACTAAACTATTTTCTGGACTTATGACTATGCAAATTCTCATTTAATTTTCACAGAACGACAACAAAGCAGTGATAGTAAGGGAAGGGGAGGGGGCTAATTCTAATTGATATAGGGGAAGTCAAAGGCTAGGACTGCAAAGCTAGCCAAAAATTCTAACTGTATGTGAGTGATGTAATGACTAGCTTACGAAAACTACTTGATAAAAGGTGAATTTATTTCTGATCCGATATCTGTGCTGAATATCAGCTGTAAAATTATTTAGAACAAAAAAAATATTATCATTCTTTGTGAAAATGTACCGCTAGGACTTTTGGCTAGCTGTTTTGGCCCATACGGCTAGCCACTTCCTTATTTAATGCAGTATTTTACATTTTAACATTTTAGTATATATATATTGTATTGTATTTGAACTCAACTAATCGAAGAAAGGGCAGGTATTCAACAATTATTGTACTCACCCTGTTGTCATTGTCACAGTCACACTTGTTTTAAGTTTTTGTGTGCAAGTTGGTATTTCCAAAGCTACTGAAGGGAATGTGTTGAAACTTCACACAATTACATGAAAGCATAATTAAGAAGTAACTGTTTAAAGTTCAAAATTTCCCTTATAAATTTTGCTTGAATTATGGCCCTTTTTGAACTAAAAAAATCTGTATTATCCACGCTTTTGTTGAACTATCAAGCACTGTGAATAGTTGAGCACGCTGTTTTACTGTCAGCTCTTGTGAAGCATGAAAAGTGTGAAAATGTAAAATATCAGATTTAATAGAGGAGAAATGTTTAAGATGTTGGTAATGTCTTGGCTTTTGAATAAGGACTGGACATGGGCACCAACCACATCAAAAATTTTGGCTGAAAAAAGGTTTAGAATTATGCCTCATTAACAATCAGCAGATAACTTTCATTGATCAGTGACATGGCTAAATGGTTTACATGTCAGACTAGTAATCGAGGGATTGTTAGCTGTGTGGGTTTAAACCTCATCAGGGGCAAGACATTGTTTCTTTAAAGCAAGAAACTTTAAACTCAGTGCTCATTACTGGTTGGGTCCAGGGACAGATTTAAAGGTGTGTATTATAAGAATAAATATAATTTTGTTTATATATTCAACTTTCAAGGTGCTGTAGAAGAGACATGGTAGTAAGATGACAGGGGCTAGTATAGACTTGGATATATTAAAGGATATACCTGGGTATAAAGGCATACTTAAAGCTGTACTCCGATATCAAATACAGCAGTTGGTAAGCAATTTGTTTAATTTTAACTGTTATTTATTAACTTCTACTTACCCAACATGCACCAATGTTGGGTAATGATAATGTCATAATAAAGTTAGAATCAAAGTCACTCTCACATCTTCTTGTGACAGTTTGTTTAACTTCAGATTAGGACACTCATAAACTGTTTTATATACATGTATATACTAATGTCAGTAAATTTAAAATGTTATAATAAAGGTATTAAAGTCAAAGCCACTAACTCAAACCTTCTTTTGACAAGTTTTCATTACAATAAATTTCTCATGGGACAAGGTGTTATTTACATTTATGTTTAATGCACAGCTGTTGCCATTTTGAATTCTTTTTATACAGTCTTGAGACCATTAAGATAAATGCTTGACTTAAATTTTACATTTGAGAAAGCTATCCAATAAGCTTACAGAAGTGCGATGGTTCCAAATTGTGTGTCTACTTCTGAGTAAAATTGCTCATGTTTTTCACTTCCATTAAAGCTGAAAAGTCACCTTTGTATGGATTTTTTGAAAAGCACAGCAACATAGCATTGTTAAAAGAGAATGACATTTAGATAAATATGAAGATATGAAATAAAGAAGCATTCCAAGAGTTGAGAGCTAAGAATCATTTATATTTTTCTACATAATGCTATATGGACTAGAGGGGGTTTGGCACAATTTAGCCACTGTACAGAGCTCCTGTTTTGTTTTCCAATCAAAGTAAAATATTTGAGGATATATTCTGATTCCTACGTTATTGGTTTGAATCATAGGTGGAGCAGTTGTGTAAACATGGTGGAGAAGAATCTGTTGTGCTGTCAGCAAATGTGACAGAGGGGACGCTGAGTCATCTGGGGACTGAGGCAGGGAAAGGATTCCTTATTGACAATAATGAGGTTAAAAGACAGTACCTGGGTTACTGTTTAAAAAGTGAGTAAAATCTTTCCTTTCATACATATATCAAGATTTAAAATTACCTCGTACACTTTACTTTTTCAATTAATGTTTTCTGAAATGGCTTCAGTTGTTTTCATGTTATAAAGCAAGATATTAGCTAGCTTACAGGGCATTTTCAGACTGTTTTGGGAAAAGGTCACTTGCATAAATTGGGGGGAAATTCAGCATTTTATGAAATTTGAGAAATTTTAAAAATCATAATTATAACCCGTCACCTTTTTTGGAAGAATCAAGTTTAAACAGTTCAATTTTTCTCAGAATAAAAAGGGGTTTGTTCATTTTGCTGCTGTTGAGAATTTTTTAATTGAAATAAAGAATATTTAGGGGGAAAATCAGGACTTTCATCATATTTCGACATATCGTGAAAATCGACTAATTGAAGTTTGACTCATAGAAATTTACTGTAATATTAAAACTAAGAGAGCAAATTATCTGAAATTTTGCATACAAGATATTTATTTAGACTCACTCAGATATCAGTGTAACCCAACAAAAAAGTTTTCCTCTAAAACTTTGTAATATTATGATGTGTGGAGATTTTTTTCTTTCTTAATAAAATGATTCTTAATGAAATCAAAGTTCTTCTAGTTACCAAATAAATGTTCACGTTTTATCGTTATAGATTACCAGAAAAGAAAGTCAGAGTTTATGTCACCGACTGTGTCCAATGAAGAAATACAACCTGCTAAATTTGCGTTTTCAAAGCGGGATTCCATGGTCAGCTATCCGGTGCATAAGAAACCGTATTTTAGGGCTCAACGTAGGAATACGCGCCTTCGTTCTGGTGGTAAACAGTTCTCTACATTTTACTCTAAGACCGGTTTGAATCGTCCTACTCTTCAGAAAATAGCCACACAAGGAGCATATAGAGTGATAGAAGAAGACGCCTCCCAAAATCAGAGTCAGTTTTCAAGACAGATTGACTCCGCAAAGCAACATGAAATGTTGAATCCACAGTATAAAGGTCAAAGGTTATTTGATGGAGGTCAAAGGTCAGAAATTGCCCTGAAAGCTGAATATCAAACAGACGAAGGGAATTCAAGTGAGGGACAAAATGAAAGGGAGGTAACTGTGAAAATGGAGCCTTCACAGGAAGTTGATGAAACAGGAAGTATGAATTCAACTAAATTGTCAGAGGATATCCAAACATTAGAAGGGGGTAGACTAGGTCACCATTTTTCGCCAAATGTATCTATGGAAACTGAAGATTCTTTCTCTGAGGGAAACCAGTCATTTGGTAAGTGTAGTATATAAATGGGAATCTGTTTAGCTGTCCGGTTAGTGCAATAGGTAGAGTGTTTGATTGTGAATGGGATGACCTCAGATTCCCAGGCATTGTAGGTCACTTTCTTGTAGAGCTGTCATTGATAGAGACGATATCAATCTATAGTTGATATTTTTTTGATGATCAATAATCAATATACATTAGAAAAAAATTGATAATTTTGATTAATTATTTAAATGCCTAAGAATTATGGAAATTCAGCCAAGAACATATACAAAAGCAGGTAGCTTTGTTTAACACAAAGCTGTTGCACAATTCATTTCATTGATGAAAAAAAAAATGCCTTAATGGTCAGAAAAAATCCTGCAAAGGACACAAAATAATTTGTATGAGCAGAACATGTATTTTACTAAAACCTTTTAAACAGGTATAAAAATGAATTATATACATGTACAAGAAATAAAGAGTATTTATGTATCGTCAATATGCTTTGCAGTGAATCAGGTTTACTATCTTTGCACTGTATCTCTGCTCTAGTATATACAGAAGTTACCAGTTTCTTTGTGAAAGTGCATGCTATCAGTCCTGGTTAACTGCTTGGCAGCCTGCCAAGGAATGATGCATTAGTAATATAAAGAGGAAAAACAAACTTTTCTGGTTTTGTCTGATCTAGATGAAACAACAAATAATTAAAGGTTTTATATAATCAACGTTTTCAATGTTGAATTAGGTCCAAAGAGAAGTTATCTCAAGTTTTCCTGCTACCCCGAGTGACTGCGTCGCACGGTATTTCTAGCAAATTGTCCACCAACAGGCAATATCTTTACATGTGCATACTCAGAAAACACATGGCTAGCTAACTGCATTTTGATATTTTTACATAAATGTCTGTAATCTTTAAAAATTATGAAAAACTCATCTTGTTTATCGTGTCACACGTCAAAGATGGGTGCTCACAACGAGGAACGGAAGTTGCTCACAACATTTTAACCGATGGACATTTTTCACTCGTTGTGAGTTAAACGGGCGTAGCTCTATATACATAAACTGTAAAAGTTTCAATTTATAGTTAGTCTGACATTTTGAGGTGTATTTGAACTATCCTACTTACCCTGATGTCACATTTGTTTATAGTTTTACGTCTTTTAAGGAGTACAGTACTACTTAACATTAAGAATCAATAAATATCAACAAGTGTCTTGTTATATCATAACCTGGAAGCTGCTCTCATCCCCCTTCAACAATTTTCGTTTCCGTATTTTTAGCTCACCTGTCACAAAGTGACAGGGTGAGCTTTTGTGATCGCTTTTCGTCCGTCGTCCGTCCGTCCGTAAACTTTTGCTTTAAATGACATCTCCTCATAAACCACTGAGCCAATTTCATCCAAACTTCACAGGAATGTTCCTTTGGTGGTCACCTTTAAAAATTGTTCAAAGAATTTAATTCCATGCGGAACTCTGGTTGCCATGGCAACCGAAAGAAAAATCTTTAAATATCTTCTTTTAAACAACCCTAAGAGCTAGAGCTTAGATATTTGGCATGAAACATCTTCTAATGAGTGTCTACCAAGTTTGTTCAAATAAAAGCCCTGGGGTCAAAATTGGCCCCGCCCCGGGGGGTCATTGATTTTCCCTATATGCATATAGTAAAAACTTAAAGAATCTTCTTTTAAAGAACCGTAAGAGCTAGAGCTAAGATATTTGGCATGAAACATCTTCTAGTGAATGTCTACCAAGTTTGTTCAAATAAAAGCCCTGGGGTCAAAATTGGCCCGGCCCCAGGGGGTCATTGATTTTCCCTATATGCATATAGTAAAAACTTAAAAAATCTTCTTCTAAAGAACCCAAAGAGCTAAAGCTAAGATATTTAGCATGAGACATGTTCTAATGGGTGTCTACCAAGTATGTTCAAATAAAAGCCCTGGGGTCAAAACTGGCCCCGCCACGGGGGTCATTGATTTTCCTTATATGTGTATAGCAAAAACTTAAAAATCTTCTTTGAAAAAACCCAAATAGCTAGAGTTTAGATGATAAGCATGAAACATCTTTAAGTAAATATTTACAAAGTTTGTTCAAATAAAAGCCCAGGGGTGGCCCTGCCCGATGGTTTTCATTGTTTTTAACTATATGTTTATAGTAAAAACTTAAAAAATCTTCTTTTAAAAAGCCTAATGAGCTAGAACTTAGATGTTTTGCATGAAACATCTTCTTGTGGGTGTCTACCAAGTCTGTTCAAATAAACAAATAAAAGCCCTTGGGTAAAAATTGGGGGGGGGGGGTGGGCTATATACAGGTGAGCGACCTCAGGGCCATCATGGCCCTCGTGTATATATATTTCTTTCTCAAAATAGACACGGATTTTCTATGGTGACATGAATCATTATAGAATATACCTGTATTACATCCGGCAAACAGGTACATTCTCATTGTATCCGTAGTCACTAAGCTTAATGCAGAAAAAGTCATCATAGATGGATAATAACTGTGATGGCGTTGCCAAGTGGTTAACACGTCAGACTAGTAATCTAAGGATTCCTGGCTGCGTTCAGACCCGTGAGGGGAATTTGTTGTTTCCTTGAGCAAGAAACTTTACATTCATTGCTCAGTACTGGTTGGTTCCAGGAACAGATTCGAGAGTGTTACAATAAGCTTATAGCTGATTCCTATACAATTGAACCCAAATTTATTAATATAAACTAACAGTGGTAATGGTAGAATTTATAAAGCTCTCTTTTAATCTACTTTCAGAATACGTTTTGGACCAAGAGAACTCTGAAGGTGTCATATCACCATGGAAACCAGACGAGATGGAAAAACTGTCACAATTCACATCAAAGCGGAAGCAGGCGCTTCCAACAAGAATAAACAAAAGTACTGAACAAATAAAGGATAAAAATGAAGTGTTCAGTCAGTTTTCACAGTCAAAAGGTTCGACATGGACTCAAGAACAATTATTTAATTTATCGGCAGATAATACGTCCTATATGGAAGGAGGTGCTGACATGAACTGGGCCGAGGAAAGCCATCAGACAGGAGGAATTAAATCGTATATGAAAACACCCCAGATTGATGGTCTTTTCGTCTCACGAGGTGAAGGTCGTTACGAAAAATTAATCAAATGTGAAGACTGCGGAAAGGTGTGTCGTACCAGTAACATGGCCCGTCACAAAAAGCGATATTGCACTACGTTATCGTCCAGTGGTCGAACGCGTAAAAACTATTCACAAGCCATTAAAGAGATATCTTTTGATGGTTCAAAATTGGACATTTACGTAGATAACCCAGAAAATGAATTGCATCCAAATCAGAAAAGTGGAACTTTGCGATCAATATTACCGAAACAAAAAGACAACTCTGTGATCAGAAATACAGATGCCAGTGAAATTAATTTAGGTAATCAAAGTGATGATTTTGTTCATAGGCGCAATGATTTTGGAGCACATTCGCTAAAAAGCGAGTCAAGTTATGATGGCGATTTTAGGGAGGAAGGTATGAACATAATTGTGAAACAAGAACCTGTAAACCATTCTGATGGTATATAGAGATAGAAACTATACTGCCATAGAGAGACCAGTACCATATAGGGACAATTTCCAAAATTTGTTTCTAGTTATGTCTGATAGTGATATTATAGCTAGCTTTTTACATTTGTTAATTAAGATCAGCATCTTAGTATCATCTGCTAATCTGATTGATAATTGTTACATAGAAATTACTTATTTAAATTTGTTTGATAAAAAATTAAAAAATGTACTGGTAGATTTTGTTTTGTTTGCATTCATATAAAATGCAAGTCAAGGCAAAACAAGCTTTGCTTAACAGTTCATCAGAATTTTTATGAATTTTGTACATTTATTACATTTGTATAGAAATTTTGTATAAAGGGTTTCTATTTCTCTTTGCCAGAGTTTTGATATGGCAGTGATGTGCTTTACTTTATTATAATATAGTATCTTGCGTTTTAGCAGAAAAGCATAACGACCCAATTTTCAAATATTAAAGGGACACAACTGAGAATAATGAAATTTGTTGTGAAAAATGATATTCAAATAAAAAGTGTTTTAATGGTTTAACCTCTAATTTGGTCTTAATGTCTTAATCACATTAAATTTCAATTTAATTTTAACTACTGTATTCCTAGAAATGTTTGCGGATACAATATTTCGCGTTTTTCACAACGTCGGCATTTTCGCGGAGACAAACTTTCGCGGATATGTAGTAACCGCCAATTCCGCGAATGTTAAGTTGCTACGGTCTAAATTACAGCTTTTAGAGGCTACGTTTTTGATGCATAACCTTGGCTGTTGGGTGCTTTTAATTATTTTATTTTTTTTGACAAGTCGCGCCTAAAGCGCAACGTTACTCGATTCATTTTCATCTATTGACTAGTTGAACAAGGACGGTTGTTCCGTGAACACTTTCATGTTTCCTTACCTTTTTTCATTATGTTATTAAGTAAGATTTAGTCAGACCCGTTAGCTTTTATTCTCATTTGAATCCTTACTGACTTTATCTTCAAAATGTCGATACTTTTTTTTTACACATTATCGGACTGTACATCGCTTTCATTATAACAACATAACAGCTGTTTATCAATGTAGCACTTTATCGCTTTTGTACTTTTAACAAAGGATTACACCTACTCCAAGCAAATAAAATCCAAGTCATTCAATGTTCGCAAACTGTAAATGCGTTTGTCAACGCTGTGACTAGCAAATAACGTTAATAAGCATGATAATTACTAATAATTGATATTTTGTTTTTCAGCGTGCAAACTAGTATCAATAACATACATAAATTATTCTTTACACGTTTCTATAGCTTCTGTGTTTATATGTTGTTTTTTAGTTTAAACAATATTTTATTGATAATCTACACATTTACATAATAAATTACATAAAATAAAATTTACGGATTGAGTAGGAAGCTTGTAAAGCTTTTTTGAAAACTCTCTCCGTATGTTGTTTTTTGTGTAAGTAGATTATAGTAAATATTCTGTACTTTTTATGTTATATTTGGCTGAAGCTAGAAATGTTCGCGGATTTGTTATAAGTGACATATTCGCGGCTATAAAGATTCGCGGAATCATGCCTACCGCAAAAACCGCTAACTTAAAATGCGCGAAATCTTTTCTAGGAATACAGTATATGCATTTTAATATCTTTTTCAATATTTTTCTGTTTTATTTAGCGCCCAGTTGATTTATCCAAATTAAGTTATCCTCTCAGATCTGGAAAACTTTATATCCAAACTTAGTTATCCACTCAGATCTGCAATTTTATACAACCAAACTTAGTTATCCACTCAGATCTGCAATTAAATATATTGTGGCCAGACGCCCTTTTCTAGGTCTGACCACTCGGGGAATTAGCTTTAAATCTTAACTTCACAATTGCTTTTGAAATTTATATAACAACAAACTTTAATGTCCACATTCAGTTTCTTTTATTCCATATGATAAGCTATTTAAAATCTTTTACACCAGTCCACCTTATTATTAATTAACTATTATCTATTACAATATCAAATTAAATCCTTTTATTCACTTCCAATCTTTCTACTCAATGTATTTTCTTTTCTTATCCTAACCTTCTTAACCTAGACTTAAACCTAAACTGACCTAACTTTCCCCCCCAAATCTGTATGTCCAAAATTCTATCCAAAACAAAGTATCTGCCCCCTTTTTGAATTTATCCAATCACATAATATATTTCTTATCTTTAATCTGTCTATCATAATTAATAAAACATTATCACATGTGCATTTGACCATCTTCTAAGTTTTTACATCAAAGGATTTCACACCTAAGTGATATTGCTTTGAGAAGCTGAAGAAGCAGACCAAAACTAATTTCAGTCTATCCCCCTCAGCTTTCCAAAGAACCAAAATATGTTATTAGATCACATATTATCATAATATTAGGTTGATCATAAACATAAAACAAAATATTGCCTGGCTACATTATCTCGCCACCCAGCTAAGTTTGCTCCGTCAAACTTTATACATAAACATATAAACATATCAATGAACATTTATCAATAAGACAAGTAATAAACAAATTAAAATCACTACTAAGCAATTTACATATAAATATACAGATAAGGTGGACTGGAAAACTTCAATGTTTCAAAGTATATAAAACACAATTTAAAATGCAATACAATGTATATAATCATTATGCAATCAACACAGTTAACAGTGTAATTATAGGAAATAGTATGATCTTTTTAAAGTCTTGATATTTCTAATTAACCATAAGAGATCTTTATGTAATTATGTTCATAATTTCCATGTAAATCTATTTCTCTGATATAATGTCACCACAAAACTTCCATTTATTTCCATTTCATATTAGTTCTTTTTGTCTGGTTAACACTTACTTTGATTGTTTGATTTTAGTCTTATTTCCTTTGCATAAAGATAATTGTATTTACAGTTAAACACACATGTTTTTCACATTTTCACTTCAACACTGTCATTTCACTGTCATCTTTGTCATTGTAATCATTTAAAACACTTAAATCACTCATATCATTTTTCAATCACATATTGCATAAACTTATGATGATTCAACCATATTTTTCAATCATGTCATCGCAATAAACTTAATTCAATTAAACACCTGTAGCATTAAACATACAAACTTCTGTATTTACCCACAAAGCATTTTGTAAACTTAATTTATGACTGTAAAGCTTGAAAGATGTGAAAAATAGCAAACTTAAAAAAAATAAGTTTACAAAAAATGTAACACTAACATCTTTTTGCTTTACATATAAAAATATACAATAATCATATAATACTCAAGAAATTCTTGGGACTTGACTATTTTAAGCTTCGCATAGCTCAACTGTAACAAAGATTCATAAACTCACATTTTATCTCCCTTAAATGCCTTTTTGTCCATCATTATCCCCAAGTAAAATGATACAAATTTTAATAGACTATGATAATACAGCCAGTTCATCAATAAGACTTACACATCTATTTTTCTCTAAATCACCTCAACTCTATACCTATATATATAACATTATATTGGACATCAAAGTCACAATAACCTCCGAATTTGTATTCTAATATTAACAAGGGTATCACATATACGTATACCAATAAAGAACAAAGTTGAAAATAGTAAGAAAGGTTATATTCAGATTTACCATGCCAGTATAAATGTTGCCAACAAAAAATCTAAACATAAAAAAAATGTGCGCATATAGAATTTGAATTTAGTTACACATGACATAGAAATTTATATGAGCCAGACTTAACCATTTAACACAATGCCTAAATGGAAATTGCAGTGAAGGACATCACATTTTTATTCACCCCCAATAACAAGAATCTTAATAAAGTTACCAACAATACTCTCCTAACTACTTTAAGCAGTTTCCAGATTATATAAACTCCCTTTTTTTTTTTTTTTATATATATACTCGTACTATATTTTGCTATTTTTATATTTTTATTTTTACTACAATTATATCTCTCATACCACTCTTAATTCTCACATACTGGGACGCTTTCGCACAGTGCCTGAGAACGTGTACTTAATGTGAAAATTCTTTCTCACATCTTCTGGCAAATCTCCACTATAGCGCCACTCAGTTCGTGTTCTCCCAGTTTCATTACGGTATCTTACCAAATATACCAATCTACCTCTGTGATAACTTGCCTTAACAATTTTCTCCAAATCAAAGTTATCTAAATTTGAAACTTCAGGTATATCTTGATCATTAACTGATGAAGACGGTGGCTCTGTCTCATCCTTTTCTTGGTCATCCATCTCCAGCTGTTGTATTCTGTCTGGCAACCCTGATGGATTTGTCGGTCTTAGAGCTGGATTGGTGTAGGGTCTCAACCTATTTGCATGTACAACACTTTTGACAGCTTGATGCGTGGCTAAATTTCGTAGACGAAAATTGACTTCACTTAACTTTTCAGAAATGTAGTATGGCCCAGTCCATTTTCTTGTCAACTTTGGTTAAGAGTTAAACAAAACTGAACGCACTTTTCTTCGTTGCTCCAATTATTTAATTGTCCGATTTTCTCGAATTTCTCCAAAAAAAAGTCTACATTATCATTTTGTTCAAATTTTGGTGTTGCTATCAATTGTTTATTTCTTGACATTATAATTTAATAAAAGTTCTAAGAATACTTCCGGATTCTCACACCATTATGTGGCCAGACGCCCTTTCTTAGGTCTGACCACTCGGGGAATTAGCTTTAAATCTTAACTTCACAATTGCTTTTGAAATTTATATAACAACAAACTTTAATGTCCACATTCAGTTTCTTTTATTCCATATGATAAGCTAAATCTTTCACACCAGTCCACCTTATTATTAATTAACTATTATCTATTACAATATCAAATTAAATCCTTTTATTCACTTCTAATCTTTCTACTCAATTTATTTTCTTTTCTTATCCTAACCTTCTTAACCTAGACTTAAACCTAAACTGACCTAACTTTCCCCCCCAATCTGTATGTCCAAAATTCTATCCAAAACAAAGTATCTGCCCCCTTTTTGAATTTATCCAATCAAATAATATATTTCTTATCTTTAATCTGTCTATCATAATTAATAAAACATTATCACATGTGCATTTGACCATCTTCTAAGTTTTTACATCAAAGGATTTCACACCTAAGTGATATTGCTTTGAGAAGCTGAAGAAGCAGACCAAAACTAATTTCAGTCTATCCCCCTCAGCTTTCCAAAGAACCAAAATATGTTATTAGATCACATATTATCATAATATTAGGTTGATCATAAACATAAAACAAAATATTGCCTGGCTACAATATCCAAATTTAGTTATCCACTCAGATCTGCAATTAAATATATACCCAAATTTAGTTATCCACTCAGATTTACAATGAAATACATCTAAATTTAGTTATCCACTCTGATCTACAATAAATACATCCAAATTTAGTTATCCACTCAGATCTACAATAAAATATAACCAAATTTAGTTATCCACTCAGATCTACAATAAAATATAACCAAATTTAGTTATCCACTCAGATATACAATAAATACATCCAAATTTAGTTATCCACTCAGATTTATAATAAAATTCATCCAAATTCCACTCGGATATACAATAAAATACATCCAAATTTAGTTATCC